CACATTGACATTTTACCTTTTTTTTTTACTCTCGTCAAAATTTTAAAAAAAATAATAGAAAATAACCAATGAGAAGAGAGATTATTATTCCATTATTTTTCTTATCATTTCACCAATGACTTGACACACTAACCAAACAATACATAGAGAAAGTAAGTACCAAATCATCTTCTAAGCTCCTCAACTTTACAACCTTTTCATTTTCCTCGTCAATCTAAACAATCAAATAATAAGAGATCAACAAAGCGCTCTCTCTCAATTCACGGACAACTTTTGAATAACAAGCGACCGTATCCATGAGTTGCTAGCTAGCAAATTAACTGACTTTGGATAAGAGCTAGGATTTAAGGTCAAAAGGTAAGTTCGAGTTTACCAAGGACATTCACTTTAGCTCTTTCGACTCCTTGGCCAGAATATTCAGAGATGAAGTAAAACCAAGATCCAAAAGGCTGTTTATTTTAGGTAAATTCATTCCCGAAGTTAACAGGATGAAAGAGAGAGCAGTCCAAAACAAGTAGAAATGTCTATGTTAATGCAGCTCGCTGGAAGGACCACAGACGATATCACTGTATCGCCCCCCATGTGACTCTCTGGCTCAAAAAGGACAACGAAGACAACTAGTCCAACCTCATGCATGCATAGAGAGTATAGTAGTATGATGGAGGCGTATGTAACCACCCCTCCACATCATCACTCATACTTTTAACTTATTGCACGTAGACCCCCTGCGGTATCACGCTCTGAACTTACTATATCTACACTTCAATTTTGGTAGATAGCTATCCTTGATGGATTTTTTTTTTTTCTCTCTTTTACACTCCATAGACTCACTGGTTTCAACATCGGGAAGCAATTTTTCATTTTTTTTACCTTCGACAAGCTCGCTAATTTCGAGGTAAGAAAATTTTGTGCTTTTACGATCGGCTGGACTCACTAATTTCAAGTCGAAAGTAATAGCTCACCCAAGGTAAAAGAGAATAAAAGTCATGGGTTAAATTGAATTCTGACAACAACGATATTAATACTAAATCATCAAAAAAGATGGAAAGATTAGAAAATGCACAAATATGAAACTAAAGGTGTTCTTTTGTTCTAGAGCTTTGTTTCTTCTCTCTTTATAGATGTCATAAACTTCTACATCGGATATAAGGATGGAAGAAGAAAAAAAAAAGAGGAGGAAAATAAAGGGGTAAAATAAAAGAGGGGAGGTTAACAACAAACGAGAGAGTAAGAGGAAGGAGAGAGCTACTACAATACAAATCAGTGACATTAAGAAGAAGACAGCATTGTGTATGGGGGTTACAACTCGAACTTTGTCCTCTCCCTAACTTGTTGTGTGCTGTCCTTATCAAACTTCCAAAGAGCTATCCTTTCCTGAAATCAGTCTGCAATCCTTTGCCTTGTTCTCCTGTTTCTGTATTAATACGCCGTATCCGAAAATGTTAACATGTATTTTTTTTTTTTCCCTAGTAGTAGTACCCTTCTCTCTACTGCTGACTTCGGCCCTACTAAAAAAAAGACTTCAAGCTGTATTCATTCCCTCATACATGCATTTTCATGGAAATGATTCTTTCCCCTTTTCCCCTTTCATCATCATCACCATCATCCCACTTCCTCTTTGTCCTCCATGATCTTTTATATTGGCTGATGGCAGGCAGTAAAGAGCCTCTCTATTGCTTACATTCTTCTTTTTATAAAAGCTATGAAAAAGGTAAAATAAAGTAAAAAAAATAGAGAGAGCTATATATAACCTTAATCTCTCCCCTTTTTCCCTGTCAAAATAATGATGAACACACAACAGTTAGTTGTAATTTAAAATATAAAGCATGTCATTGGACTGAAAAAAATAATTAGTTAAAAAAGTGCAAGCTTTCATACTCTGCAAACTTCCACCAAGTCTTCACAAGCCAACTGCTCCATGCCCAGATGAGAACCTGACAGCATAATTAACATTCGAAGTTAAGCTTAATTACCTAACTGAGTACAAAATTTTTAGGTTAAGTGACCAACTGGGTACCTGGGGATTTGGAAGAAGCAAGATTTGAAGGAGGCCATGTTCTCAAGAGGAGATGAAGGAGGGAGGAGAGTTGAAGCTATGCCACTGTTAATGAGAGAGCTCTCCTCATTGCTCAGAGAGAAAGCATCATTCACAAATGAGGATTTGGTTGGTGAAGCAAATGGGCTATCAGGCAAATTATGCTCAGCACTGAAATCAAAAAGGCGGGGGGGAAATTTAGAACCCCATTAATTCACTACAAACTATTTCCCTTTTCCTCCCTCGGTACAAAGAGGTCAAATTAAAAGCACAAAATTCAAACTTTGGATCACCTTTCTTGGTAACTGATATCTTCATTGGGGGTTGGTTCATTAGCAGAAGCATGCTCCTCAGTGTTGACTACAGTCTGCAGCTTCTCAGTGCCAGAAACTGAGCTAAGGCTCAGGCTCTTATCTATAAACAGTAATGGAGATCGCAGAGGACTGCATTAATGACTCTCTCCCTCTCTTTAGAAAATTAAACAGACTGCAATCAATGTATACCAGCAACTACTAACCTTCAGCTGGGAGTAATGCCTCATCCTGGCTCCCATTGCTGCTGCTTCTTCCATTATCAGAGAAAACTCCATTACTGAAAGTGGTTGAATTTGGGGTTGCCAATGGAGAGAGAATTGGGGCAGTTGGTGAACCCAAGCTTCGATTTTTAATGTCGAGAAGCTGCAGACCCATGAACCTTCTCCCTTGCATCTCAATGGCTTGCTGTAGCTCTGCTGCTGCTTGCTGCTCCTCTAACTTCCTCCTCAAAAGCATTTCTTGATTGTTACCATTATACAACATCCTTGCATTTGCTACTTGCACAAAAAATATAAACCTGTTAAAACTAAAATCAAGTAAATAGAAACACGCAAATTTGAGAAATAAATCTTACCCAGTTGCTGCAAATCAAATGGGTCTCTAGAATCCAACCCGGTAGGAGAATTGCACCCAGAAAAATCGAATCTTTCTGGCTGTAGTTGCTTCCTGCAAGAGATTTTTACATCACAAACTTCAATTTTTTTTAACGGATTGAGACAATGGGTGATGTTAAACAAAGAGGGGAGGGGGGAAACATGGAGATCACCTATACTTATCAGGGACTTTGCCCTTCTCCTTGTAAGGCTTAACAAGAACTCTAGCATCACAAACAAAGTGAGGATTGCCTTTAGCCAAGATGAGCTTCACAGTCTCAGGGTACACAAAGGTAACAAACCCAAACATTCTCTTTTGCTGATAAGGGATCCTCACATCTTGAACTGGCCCATAAATACTAATTACACACACCCAAAAAAAAACATAAATAATCACCAAAATGAAGCAATAATTCAATTTCAAACCCTAAAAATCACAAACCTGAAGTAATTAGAGACATCCTCTTCTCTAAAAGCCTACTATCAGCAGGAAAAAGTCAAATAAATTTGCCTCGAACCAGGATTCACCATTCCAGCATAATCTCTCTCAATCCTCGGCCGACCCATGAACTTGTGATTCTCGTTCTCAAGCATCATCGCGCCGCCCGCCGCCGCCGCCGCAGCCGCCCTAAAATCCAAAAACAATCAACAAAAAATACTTATGCGTCTAATAAAAACAAGAAAACAAAAAGTGGGTAAGTTTCAATTTTACCTCTGCTTTCATTTTGCTGAAGCATAAAGTTGAAGCACTTGGCCGACGAGGAGCTCGTCGGAGAGTAAGGAAACGCCGCCGCCGCGCCGCTGCCAGATGCAGCGAGGCGCTGACTTTTGGACCTCATCAGCATTATCTCTTGGCACTGCTGCTCCGCCGCCGCCGACGCAGCGGCGCGACATATCATCAGCCGCGCCATGCAAAAAGCTGCAACTGCTCCCATTCTTACAAAACCCTCGATTAAAATACAAGCACGGTTTCCACCCAAACCCTTGGTCGTAATACAAAGACTCCGGCGTCGCCGCCGCCGCCTGAAGCAAGAGCTCGTCGTCGTCGAGGGGTTGTTGAGCCCATGAAGATGGGTTGTTTGGGCCCAAGCCCAGTTCTTTACGGGCTTTAAGGATGAGAGAATGAAGTAGGGTTTCGGGTCCAAAAGCTAATCGGATCATCTCTTTGTCGCCGTGATCTTGGATGAGGAGGAGACCCATGATTTTGGCGGCGTTCTCCGGGTCGAGAGCTTGGATTCGAGAGAAAACGATGCGGGTTGCTTCGTAAGCGTCCATTGTTGACGAAGCTTGAAGAAGTTTGCGGCCTCTATGTGTTTTGATTTAAAGGCTGAGGGGAGAGATAGAGGAAAGAGAGAAATTAATTCATGTTTCTTTTTTCTTTCTCTTTTTTTGCGCTTTGTGAAAAAGAAAAGTTCGGTTTTATTACCTCTGGTTTTCCTCGTCTAATTAGGAGTTGCGGCCCATGGCAGGGCTTCGTTTAGAACGCCATACCGGGAGATGTTGCGATCGATGTGGGACTAAAAATTTGCTATGCTTGCTGCGGATGGGATCTTAGATCTGCTCAGAGCTCTCGAATAGAGTCTCTCCGCTCTCTCCCTACGCCTGAAACCTCGCTCTTTTAACTTCCTCTCTCGAGAATTTGGGTCAAAGAGAGAGACCCTTTTGGGTCTTCAATCAATCTCTTTCTCTCTCTACACAGTGATTATACTATACTATATACTGCTCTGCACACTGTCCAGTGCTTAAATTACCTTTTCTCGAAGACATGAGAGGGGCTGGGGCCCACAATAGGTACGCCCTCTTTCTCTATGTTTTTGTCGTTTTACTGGCTGCCCTGCTTTGCTTTTATTATATATAATTGTTGTTGGTCGCCATTTCACGATGATAATGATATTATATTAAATTAATTAAGAGGGGTTAAAAAAAACTATATTGTACTATTTAGTACTTCACGCATCACAATAATACAGGCTTTTTATTTTTAATTTCATAGACTTGTATGATTTGATCCTGGGCTTCAGTTTGGGTCTAGTGATTGCCGAGGGCGAAATTATTGGGTCAATCACTGATATTTCGTTTTCAGGTACTGAGGATGGGCCGCAAGTGGTAAATACTGTTCCTCTCCGTAGCTAACCCGGTCTTCGTGGTATTTCATTGTGCCTCAAAGCTTACGTCTTGGCAAATGATGAAGAATATACTATTATCCAAACTAGTATGCTTCCCGTGCAAAACACGACTTTCTATTTTTTTAAGCACTGTATTTTAGATTTATGTTCCTTTAAGTTTTAATATATTTAATTTAATTATTGTATATTTAAAATTAAAAATTATATATGCTCCTTTATACTTAAAGAAATATCCAAATTTCAATATATTTGATTTAGAAATCATATCTACCCCTCTATACATAAAGAATGACACAAGTTTTAATACATTTGATTTACTTTACTGTTTATAATACAGTAACTATAGCATGAATAGGAACTTCAAGTA